AATATTGCTGTTACTTTATACACAGTACATTTCATTTTGCATCAGCTCGTGTGAAGTCTTTCCAGGTTTTTCTGAGAGCATCCTGCTCATCACTTCTTATAGTACAATATTATTCCATCATAATCACATACCACAATTTATTCAGCTATTCCCCAATTGATGGGCATCCCCTTAGTTTCCAGTTCTTTACAACCGAAACAGAGCTGCTATAAATATTTTTGTACATATGGGTCCTTCTGGTTTTTTTTTTTAAATCTCTTTTGGAATACAGACCTAGTACTGGACTTGCTAGGTGAAAAGTATGCATGGTTTTATAGCCCTTTGGCCATAGTTCAGATTGTTCTATAGAATAGTTGAATCCATTCACAATTCTACCCACTAAAGTCTCATTTTCCCTGCATTCCCTCCAACATTTGTCATTTTCTTTTTTTGTCCTATTAGCCAATCTAACAGGTATAAGGTAGTACCTCAGAGTTGTTTTAATTTGCATTTCTCTAATCAATAGTGAGTTGAAGCATTTTTTCATATGGCTATAGATAGCTTTAATTACTTCATCTGAAGAGGAATGGTTCTTACTATTATAATTTTGACTCAGTTCTCCATATACTTGAGAAATGAGGCCTTTTTCAGAGAAACTGGCTTCAAAATGCTTTTTCACAGTTATGATTGCTAAATGTATTTCCCTCTATCCTATTTCCCTCCACCCCATTTATTCTATTTTCTCTCTCCTTTTACTCCGTCTCTTTTCAAAAGTGTTTTGCTTCGACTTCCCCCTCCTCTAATCTGCCCTCCCTTCTATCACCCCCTCCTTCTCTTATCCCCTTCCCTTCTTATTTTCTGGTAGGGTAAGATAGATTTCTATACCCAATTGAGTGTATATATTATTTCCTCTTTGAGCCAATTCTGATGAGAGTAAGGTTCAAGCATTCCCTACCACCTCCCCCAGCTTTCCCTCTGCTGTAAAAGCTTTTTCATGCCTCTTTTATGAGATAATATACCCCATTTGACCTTTCCCCTTTGCTTTTTCCCAGTGCATTCCTCTTTCTCACCCCTTAATTTTATTTTTTTAAGATATTATCTCTTTATATTCAATTCATACCTGTGCCCTCTGTCTACATATACTCCTTCTAACTGCCCTAATAATGAGAAAGTTCTTATGAGTTACAAGTATCATTGTCCCATGTAGGAATGTAAATGGTTTTTTAACCTTATTAAGTCCCTTTCCTGTTTGCCTTTTTATGCTTCTCTTGAGTTTTGTACCTGAGAGTCAGATTTTCTATTCAGCTCTGGTGTTTTTATCAAGAATGCTTGAAAGTCCTCTATTTCATTTAATTTTCATTTTTTTCCCCTGAAAGATTATACTCAGTTTTGCTGGGTAGGTGATTCTTGGTTGTAATCCTAGATGTCTTGCCCTCTGGAATATCATATTCCAAGCCCTATGATCCTTTAATGTAGAATCTGCTAAGTCTTGTGTTATCCTGAGTGTGTATCCATGATATTTGAATTGTTTCTTTTTGGCTGCGTGCAGTATTTTCTCTTTGGTATGGGAGGTCTGGAATTTGTCTATAGTATTCCTGAGTTTTCATTTTGGGATCTCTTCCAGGAAGTGATCAGTGGATTCTTTCGATTTCTATTTTACCCTTAGGTTCTAGAATATCAGGGCATTTTTCCTTGGTAATTTATTGAAAAATGATGTGTAGGCTTTTTTTTTTTTTAATCATGGCCTTCAGGCAGTCCAATAATTTTAAAATTATCTCTCCTGGATCTGTTATCCAGGTCAATTGTTTTTCCAATGAGATATTTCACCTTGCCTTCAGTTTTTTCGTTCTTTCAGTTTTGTTTTATTGTTTCTTGATTTATCACAAAGTCATTAGCTTCCATTTGCTCCATTCTAATTTTTAAGGAATTCTTTTCTTCAGTGAGCTACCTACAGGCTGGGTCATCTGGAATGAATTCACAGATTCAAGCATTCTTCAAGTCAAGCTGGCAAAGATTTATTGTTATGCTTTTCAGCAGGCAAGGATTCTTAAAGAACCTGCAAGAGACTGAGGATATAGCTAGGTTTATATGGGAAAAGGCATGGGAAAGGAATGCCAGGGACACTGATGAGGTAACCTAAAGGTACAGGTATCTTTGGGAACAATGTATGAGAAAGTACAGGGAGTATACTGGACAGGGAGGGAGATGACAGAGGTATAGATCTTTGGAGTCTGGCAGGAGGAAGAGTCCTTGGGCTGGCCAAGGACATAACTCTTTGGGCTGGGCAAGGCACCCCTCTCCCTCTGTCTTGATGAGAGAATGCTCTGCAACAAGGGAAAGCTTTCTTACAAGAAAGGAACTTACTAAGGAATTGGGAAGCTTCCAGAGACATGATCTGAGGGCTGGGGCCTGAGCAGCCCAGCACTCTCTCACCCAGCTTTGTGTATAGCTGCACCAGGGAGAGAGATAAGGGTTGTGCTGGGGCCCACACATGAATAACTGCTAGACACAGTGTCCTTGGGCTAGGGAGTGGTTGTCAGAGACTGTGTTTCTGAGACTAGGGAAAAATTGGGGTCCAAGTACAAGCACAAGCACCCAAGCACCCAAGCACCCCATCACTGGGACCCCAAAATCACAACATGTGAGTCCTGTCTGAAAGAATTCAACTCAAGCCTTCTTTCAGCCAAAGACAAGGTTTATTAGAACATTGTCATATTGGGCAGACTCTTAAGTAGTCTGAATGTTAGTAAGCTATTGGCTAGATTTTAAGAATCTGAGCATCTTAATGGAGACAAGATGGACCTTATATTCAGAAAGCCTGTGGGAGGGATCTAGGAGTGGCCAAGTAGTTTGGGTAAGCAGTGGCTAGATTTTAAGAATCAGCAGTGGCTAGATTTTAGGAATCTGAGCCATTATCTTCTTTTGAGTATGTGTTTTGATCTTCCTTGTCACCACAGTAACTTTCTATGATTAGAAATTTTTCTGTTGTTTGCTCATTTTCTTAGCCTATTTCTTGACTTTCAAACTCTTTGTTAAAGTAGGACTCTGCTTCCAGGGCGCAGGGTGCACCGTCCCAAGCTTGAGGGATTTTGTGCAGTTGTTTTCAGAGATACTTCTAGGGACGTGTAAGTTTTCAGTCCCAAGGTGGTATGATCTAAGGAGAGGTGTGTTTACTGCTCTCCTGATCTGTGCTCTGATCTGTGAGTGACCACAAGCACTCTTTTCTGCATTGGACCTGTGATGAGGGTTCCTGCTTCACTGTGGCCACAAGCTCTGGGGTGCTAGTATTCTTCCTTGCCCTGGGACTTACCCAAGACTGTGACCTGAATATGAGTGTGGGCAAAGCAACAGAGGACTGCCTCAGTGCTAGCAAAGAGACCCCTGTAATCTCCTTATGAATGGCTGTTTGACTCCCAAGCCATCTGTGGGCTTAGAGCTCTGGAAGCAGCAGCTGCTGCTGTTGATTCAGTGGCTCCCAAGGCCTGCTCCTGGTTTGCTGGGGCTGGGTTTGTGCTGGCATGGCCTGCACTAGACTGAGCTCCACTCTCACCCCTGTGTGACAGACCTTTCCTGCTAACCATCTAAGTTGTCTTTGCCCTGTCCTTTCGTGGGTTCTGCTGCTCCAGGAATTGTTGTATGGCATTCTTTAAAGGTGTTTGGAGGGGTTTTGGGGAGAGCTCAGGTGAGTTGCTACCTTTTCTCCGCCATCTTGGCTCCGCCTTCTCCTCCCACCATTTTGCCCCTGTAGTCTTCCTCAAGTGAGTTACCTGGCTCTGTTTGGCAGAATCTCTGTCTATGTTGCCATAATGTTTGTATGTGTGCTGTTTTTCCCTGCTTACTGTGTCACATAGTAATAAAGCTTGTGCTTGCACTAACTTTCCAAGTACTAATTTTCTAAAAATCTTTGAACTCAGGTCTTTGCACTAACCTGAGCCTTGAGACCAAATAAAGCAAACAGGAATCATACTTCCTCTGGAGTCAGGGGACTTGGGTTTCAATCCTGGCTTCATAACTGGTTAAATGGCTAAAATACACAGCTAACATTTTGTCTAAATGTAAGCTACTTCCTAGAAATGTGGATCTGTTAGACTTGTATACTTCATCCAGGTTAATACTGATGCCCTAAATGGTCTTGAGAACCTCATTGCTTTTTCAAAAATTCATTTATTATTATTTTTTTTTGCAAGACAATTGGAGTTAAGTGAATTGCCCAGTCTCACACAGCTAGTGAATATCATATGTCTGAGACCAGATTTGAACTCAGATCCTCCTGACTACAGGGCCAGTGCTCTTATCTATTGTGCCACCTAGCTGCCCCCATCTCATTGTTTCTTACTGATCAAAAGAGAAAATATTTACAAAGTATCTCAAACAGTGCTTGGCACAGAGTAGGTGCTTAATAAAGTACATGTTTCCTTCTCTCCCCATTCTCTCTTCTTACTGACTTAGACATACCAGTGACTTGTGGGCTGATAGAAAAGATTCTTGAGTAAGTGACCCCTCAATGTATTTGCAATGCTTTTGGCAGCTTTCTTTTAAAGACCACAGTATTGCAGCCATGTTATCTTAAGCAGGCAGATGGAAACTAGTATAACCTCAGTTAAACCACAGTCTACAATTGATTACTGGAGATAAATGGAAGAAGCAGGTAGCTGGAGTGAACACCCAGAAAGGGCAAGCAGGGTGGTCACAGGCCTAGACTTCATGCATATGAGGTTAGGTTGAAGGAACTGCGGATATTTATATTGACAGGGTTCATGATAGCTTTCTTCAAGTATTTGAAGGGTGGTTCTGTCTGTCTGTGAAGGGCAGAATCAGGAGCATTAGGTAGAAACTGTAAGGCAGCAAATTGAAGCTCAATGTAAGAACCAAACCAAACCAAAACTTCCTAAAAATTAGAGTCCTCAGTAAATGTACTATGTTATCTCAAGAAGGATGAGGTTCCTCCTCCCTAGACGTCTTTAAACAAAAGGTGCATAATCATTTGTCAGATTTGTTTTTGAGGGGATTTTTTTTTTCAGGTACGAATTGGACTAGTCCTCTGACATCCTTCCCAACTTTGTGTTTCTGTGTTTGTTTACAAAGCACTTTCCTCCCAAGAACTCTGTGAGGTAGGTATTAATAATATGTGGTATTTATATAGTGCTTAATGATTTACTAGGGGAACCCCAGCCACAGGCCTGCTAAAATCCTGCATAAAGGTTACAGCGGAGAACCTGCTACACAAATTAACTTCTTCTATTTCCCCTAATGGACTCCATTTAATATTGAAGGTTGTTGTGCAAACACAGAAAGACTTAGTGTATTATGGGAAATGCTAACTCTGAGACACTAGTGGGTGTTTGGGGGACGGGAAGAGTGGTTGGTTAGGAAAGAGTTTCATAGGAAGGGAAGACATAATCTTTTCTGCCTCCTCTTGGTAGAGAGATGGGGGAATAAAGGCTGTGTAATGCTTAATTCACTGTGAGACAGGGATGCCGTGTCTGTTGGTTTTGTTTTAACCATTTTGCTTTGTTATATGGGAAGGCTCAATGGGGATGTGGATATAGACTGTGGGTAGAGTATATTCATAAATGACTATGATGTAAAATCAAAAGTTATCAATAAAACATTTTTTTAAAAGGAAGAAAAAAAGCCAAGCTGAGGAGTTTGCACTTTATCCAAGGGGCACTAGGAAATCATGAGTGGAACAATGACATGCTCAAAACTATGCTTCATGGAGGTTGTTTTGGCAGCTATGTGGAAGGCATACTTGTATCTATGCCTCTCTTAATGTAGCATAAAATTGCATTAATTTTTTTTGACTACCATGTCATTTTGTTGACATACTGAATTTTCGTTCTAATAAAATCCCCAGATCTTTTCATTCTAATTGTTTCTATTCACACCTCCCATTTTGTACTTGTGAAATTAATTTTTTAGATCCAAATATAAGACCTTACATTCATCCCCAATAAAGTTCATCTTACTTAGTTGGTCCAATGTGAGGCAGCTGGATATCACAGTGGCCAGAGCACTGGATCTGGAGCCAGTGAGACCTGAGTATAAATTTGACCTCAGACATTTACTAGCTGTGTAACCTTGAGCAAAATACTTAACCTTCTGTTTGCCTTAGTTTCCTCAACTGCAAAACGGAGATAACAATAGAGCCTACCTCTCAGGATTGTTGTGAAGATCAAATTGAGAAGATATTTGTAAAGCACTTAGCACAGTGCCTGGCACATCGTAGGTGCTATATAAATCCTAGCTATTATTATTATTATTAATATTCTAGTCTGTTAAGATCTTTTTGGATCTTGACAATCACCAATGTATTAGCTCTCACTCCCAAATTTGAGTCTTTTGCAGATTCAATAAATGGGATCTATGCATTTATCCAAGTGACTGATAAATGTTGAACAGTACAGTTATAGTCACTGATCCATTGGAGACCTCCTTCCCTGTTGACTTTAAACCACTGATAATTTCTTTCAACCAGAAAGATCACTGAATAAGGGAAACGAGGAGCTTGTGATGTCTTTGAACCTAAAGAATAAGAACAGAATCCTTACCTCCTTTCTGTGCTGAGCTTATGTATAGCCTCTTCCATGAATAGTGATCTCTCACTTTTATGATTACTTACAATATACACATTCTAATAAGGGAGGCAACATATATATATGTGTAAATACATACATACATACATACATACATACATACATACATACACTCAGGAATATACAAGACACATATAAAGCAGATGTAAGCTAAACTTGAAAGTCACTAGCAGCTAAGGGGCCCAGGAAAGACTTGTTGTAGAAGATGGCATAAAATGATTCTTGAAGGAAACCAGGGCTTACAGGAAATAGAAATGGGAAGAGCATTCTTGTTAAGGGAGAGAAATGGGATGAAAACAGGTGCAACACCACAGAGATGGAAGGTGGAGTGTTGTGTAAGGAATGGCAAATATGCTGCAGAGCAAATGGAAGAGAGTAATGTGTAAGAAGACCAGAGAGGTAGGAAGGAGCCATATTGTGAAGATGTTGTCTAAATACTCACAAGAGGGTTTGTATTTGATCTTAGATGTGATAGGAAGTTGCTGGATTTAGTGAGTATGGTGACATGGGCAGTCCTGAGCTTTAGGAAAATCTCTTTAGCAGCTGTGTAGAAGATAGACCAGAGTGGGAAGAGATTTGAGACAAGGACACTGAATGGGAGGCTATTACAGAAGTCCAGGTGAAAGAAGATGAGGGCATGAACCAGGATCATAGCTATATGAGTGGAAGGAAGGGAAGGTGTGTAAGAGATATCATGGAGATGCAAATGACAAGATTTGGTAACTGATGGGATATGTGAGGTGAGTGAAAATGAGGAGCTTATGATAACACCTGAGTTGCAAACCTGAATGACTAGAAAGATGGTAGTACCCTTGACAGTAATAGGGAAGTTTGGAAGAGGAATAGGTTTTGGGAGAAAGATATGAATTCTCTTCTGGGCATGTTGAATTTGAAAAGCTTGAAGGTCATCTTGCTAGACATGACTAAAATAAGTAGTTGGTAATGCATGATCATAGCTCAAGATAGCCACTAGCACTGGATATGTAGATCTGGGAGTCATTACCAGCATAATTGAAGCCACAGAAACTGATGAACTCACCAAGAGATTGTAGAGAGAAAAGAGAAGAGGAGCCAGGACAGGACCTTTGGAGGTGCCCAAGATTAGGGAGCATGATATGGGTAAAGATCCAGCAAAGGAGACAAAGAGAAATCAGACAGGGAGGAGAGTCAAGAAAGAGTAGTTGTGACATGGATGATGATTCAGCAAATAAAACTGAGGATTGGTCAGGTAGGTAGGAGAAGCAGGAGAGAGAGACAGAAAGAGAGGGAAGGAGAGACAGAAGCAGAGAGAGACAGAGAGAGATAGAGACAGAGACGGACAGAGAGAGACAGAAAGCAAAACCCAATAGAGGATAGAATGAGTGCCCAGGAGGAAAGGATGATCGGCAATAGCTGCAGAGAGGTAACAGGGCCTCTTGTATCGAGAAAGAACTTGTGGAGAGGAATAAACTAAAGATTCATGAGAAAGAGGATGATTGTTGGAGTTAGGTCCTAGAAAGAGGCAGGAGGTAATGGTGTCAAGGGTACAAAAGGGGAAATCAGCCATAGTGAGGAGTACGGATACCTTTGCTTCTTCAATTCAAGGGTAAGGGCAGAATGGATAATGCAGCTCAGAAATTATGAGGAATTGAAAGATGGTGGATTGCTGGACTGTCTCAATCTTTTCATTCAAACAAAGTAGCAGGATTAGTTTTAAATATAAAAGAGTTACATGAAAGCATATTCACTGATAACAGCAGTAATTTTTATGTTTATCTTCAGCACAAAGTTTTTACTTTTTGTTTGGATCTGTGATTTTGCTAGCATAGGGAACTTTTGGTGGGAAAACTCCCACTATTCATACAGGTTGTCACCTGCTTTGCAATTAATTGTCTCAGAGAAGCTACCTGGGAGCAGAGAGGACTTGCCCAGGGTTCCCCAGCCTAGTATATGTCAGAGGCATACTTTGAACCCAGTTTCTCTTGACTCAGAAGCCAGTTCTATTTAGTATGCCAAGTTATCACACCAAATAAGATTCCATGAACTATTGGGATTTAAATGTTTGGGGGATTTTTTTTAGAGGGGGAAAAGTATAGCAGAGGAAACAAGTAATTTTAAACTATCAGGGTTGTTATTCCAATTGTATTGCTTTCATGTAATTACTCTGCAAGTGAAAACAAAACTGTCTAAACCGTTTCTCTTCTAGAACCTGACATGTCCACTAATTCAAAATGGGTGAGAACCAGAGTGATGTAGGCATCAAAGTAAGCCAAGAAGTTTCTTTTCTTTTTCTAATTTTTAAACATTTTTTATTTAAAGTTTTGAGTTCCAAATTCTATTCCTCCCTCCTTCCCTCCCCTCCGCCTCCCTGAAATGGCAAGCAATCAGATATAGGTTAGACATGTGCAATTATGTAGAACATTTCCATATTAGTAATTTTGTATAAGACTTGAATAAAAGAAAAAGAATGAAAAAAAGAAAGTAAAAATAGCATGCTCCAGTCTGCATTCAATCAATATCAGTTCTTTCTCTGGAGGTGGATAGTCCTTTGGGATTGTTTTGGGTCACTGTATTGCTGGGAATAGCTAAGTTGTTCACAATTCTTCATTGAACAATATTGCTGTTACTGAGTGTAATGTCCTCCTGGTTCTGTTTATTTTACTATGCATCAGTTCGTGTAAATATTTCCAGGTTTTTCTGGAATCATCCTGCTTGTCATTTCTTATAGCACAATAATAATTCCATTACAATCATATACCACAGCTTGTTTAGCCATTCCCCCATTGATGGGTATGCCCTCAATTTCTGTAAAATGTAGATATTAATAGCACTTACTTCCCAGGGTTGTTGTGAGGATCAAATGAGACAATAATTATGAAGTGTTTAGCACAGAGAGGACATATAGTGCTATATAAATGTTAGCTATTGTTGTTGCTATCATCATCATCATCATCATCATCATTGTTATTAAATGCTTGTTGAAGCCAATAGAGTTGTTCAGGTGTTCCCCTTTCTGCCTAGGAGGCTGGATTCCCAAACTCTTGAACTTGGGGATGCTATAGAAACCACAGGAGGATGGTGTTGCCTGGGAACTCCTTTTCTCTGTAGGACATTGAATTCCAGGATCCTCTTCTTTCCTGAAAGCTGGCACTGCTCAGGAAATCCCACCTCCTTTTTTCTCTGTTTTGTAATTGAGAATGTTTCCAATTGCAATGTATATCTGCTACTGCTTTTTCTCTAGAGCTGGTTCTAGACATTAGAAATCTAGAACATTAAGGTCCAGAACTCTTGCTACTCTATTGCTGACTGCTACCATCTCCTAGGCTAAGAAATCAACATCTTTGGGGCTGAGGTAGGGATTGTAAATCTGTCCTTGAAGGGCTGTGTTTTGACATAGTACAAATACTCTCTAAGGACTAAAATCCATCCTCCTTTCTCTGGCCTCTGACCAGTGCTCGACTTTCTCTGATTCTCTCCAAAAAAGCAAAAAGCACCAACTCCATAAAAGGACTCCCTTTTAAATAGGCCTGGAATGAAATGGTGATTTCAACTCATAGAAGCCCAAGTTGACTATTTAATTTCCTAGTGTGGAGATACAATCTTAAGTCCCCAACAAAAGCTTACTGTCCAATAAGCTTATTGAGTGGACAGAGAACTCTTCTGATCCACTTCTCTCCACCCCCAACACTGTCTAATCAAATATTTGTAGTCCTCACAAATCAAATGGATATACCTCTTGACATATTGGTTTATAGACCTAATTCTAGATCACTCTCTAGAGATCTTAGAAGTTTCCAATGTCAAGAAATTAATTCAAAGCAGGAGTTGTTCACTTTCTTAAATGTCTTCCTCAATGCTTTGCATCCATGATACACAATTCTCAGGTGATCCCCAAATTAACAACCTTAGATGTGGTTCTTGCTCTCACATAGCTGGGTGGGTCTGAGGCTCACATTCACCTACAATACATAATTGTACAAGGTTCTTCTAGACTTAGAATTGCCTTGGTTCTCATAATGGGTCTGTTTCAATCCATCTCATGCCACAAAAAAGTAAAAAACAAAAGTCCAACAGTCTAGCAATAAATTTTGCCAAACAATTCAAAGAAGGCAAAAGAAAACAAGAAAAGCTAACTCCCCAAATGGTGTTGAGTAAGAGTGTGAGGAGAGTATTGACAAGGCATTAAGCAGCCACCTTCCTATTGACTTATGGTCCATGAGGATCTGAGATGAACTCTCAGCGTGTACTCTTGGGATTTAATCTTTAGGACTGTCTCTTGACTCATGCTTGTCTTATTAGAACAAATAGATTAGTTCCAATGCTGGATGATGCTCCAAGATGTAATTCACAGTCTAGAACCTTGGTCCCTGAGATCACATCAGGTGATGACCACATCAGGTCCAGATGGGGAGATGGAGGAAGTAGTCCCAAGTAATTTTTTCATTGGCTCATTTTGCCCCCACCTAGACTTGGCTCCTGTAAAATTGAGCATATAATTCAAATGTATCTCATGTCTAGGTCTCCAGAGATGTGGGTTTGAGTCCTCAGCTTCTGTACAGGCATTCAAGGTAACAATACTGATTGAATATAGGAAAATGTATAGGGGAAATCAAGGGGAGGGCAAGCATTTATTAAATACCTATTGTGTGCCAGGCACTGTGCTAAATACTTTAAAAACATTATCTTCATTTGATCCTTAAAACAACTCTGAGAAGGAGGTACTATTATCACTCCCATTTTGGAGATGAGAATACTGAGATAAACAGTGGTTAAGTGACTTACCCAGGGTCACACACTTAATAAGATTCTGAGACCAGATTTGAATTCAGATTTTCCTGATTTCAAGTCCAGTGCTGTATCCACTGTGCCATCTAGCTGCCTCATACCCCATAGGTCAGTGGTGTCAAACTCAAATAGAAACAGAGGTCATGTAGTCATACATGAGGATCTATGCTAACCAAATATTGGTGTAGAAAACCACATATTAATATTATCTGTATTCTATCATGTTTTATTTATTTTATTAAATATTTCCCAATTATGTTTTATTTTATTATTATTATTATTATTATTATTATTTTTTAGGCAATGAGGTTAAGTGATTTGCCTAGGGTCACACAGCTAGTAAGTGTTATGTGTCTGAGACCGGATTTGAACTCAGGTCCTCCTGACTCCAGGGCTGGAGCTCTATCCACTGTGCCACCTAGCTGTCCCACCAATTACATTTTAATCTGTTTTGGGCCCACTCTGGAAAGGCTATGTGTGACACCTTTGGCATAGACAATTCAGCGAACAAAATTCTTCAAGTTGATCAGGGAACTCCTCCCAGTCAAATACCTATAATCTGCTGTAGCATCCCCTTTGTGATACTCTGAGCGGAGTACTCTCAAGCTGAGTCTCAGAGGATAGATAGCTGCTACCTCAGGTTCTAGGGATAATCCTATTACCTTCACTTCTAATACTAGAAGGCTCATGAGCCTCCATCAGTGTACTCTCCATTAATAGTCACCCAATGGTCACACTTAGCTCCCAGCAAAGGCATTTACTAAGATGGCATAATAAAAAGAGTAGCTTCAAAATATCTGCCTCCCTTACCCTAACCTGGCCTGATGTGACCCTTGGGACACAAATCTTCCCACAAATACACATAGGGTTAAGGGAATCATGGTAGGCACAGAGTTAAGTGGGAGTGAGGTACATACGCGGGCAATACACGCATCAAGACAAACTCAACTCCTGAACTGCAGGGCCTGAACATCCTTTCTCTCCTCATTCACTCTTCTCCCTAGCCAAATTCTTGATTGCCCAGTCTAACTTTCTTTCTTTCTTTTTGTTTTGCTTTTTGGTGAGGCAATTGGGGTTAAGTGACTTGATCAGGGTCATACAGCTAGGAAGTGTCAAGTGTCTGAGGCCAGATTTGAACTCAGGTCCTTCTGACTCCAAGGCTGGAGCTCTAGTCATTGCGCCACCTGGCTGCCCCCTCTAGCTTTCTTTTGAATCATAACTGACTCTTTTATTGGCTCTCCTAGTGTGGTTGAGTAGCTCCATTTCAAAGTCACCTGATCTGGATGGTTGAGGTTTTGCATAAAAAAATCCTTTCTTCCCTGCCAAAAGAGAATCCTTCTAAAGGGTTTTGTTCCTCTTCTACTTCTGTCTCTCGGCTTGGATGCACTCAAGCAACCACATTTTCCCAGGACTTAGTTATTTAAAGGTGTGCAAAGGCATGTCTAATTTTTGCTCATGTAATGAAGTTGCTCCCTTAATTCCCTTAATTTAAGGCAAGGTGAATACTCTTGTAAAGGGATTACCAGGTGTGGCTGCATTTTTCAGTTAATTTAACACCATGTTAACACCTTATTATTACATAATGAGCTTTCTGAGCTAGAGTCTTCATCAAAGACCAACTTCTCTACATAAAAATATGATATCTAAAACTGGGGAAGCAATAATTCTATTGTAGCCTACACTTGATCAAAATATATTTGGAGTATTATCTTCATTTCTGGATGTCACATTTAAGGAGGGACATTAACCAGTTAGGTTGTGACCAGAAGAGAATGTCATTGGGTCTCTGCTTCTAATGAGGATAGTGCTTGACTTGTGTCAGTGACTAAGGAGGATTAATAGGCCTCGAAGGAGAGAACAAAGCTGTTTAGAGAGTAAGGGAAAGGGGCTGGCAAGGGGATGGTTCAAACCATAATCCAAAAGGATAATCAGAATGCCTTTTAGGATCAACTTCGCCAGCATAAACAAATACAAAGGTCTAGGCAGAGGTAATGAAATAGAGGTCAGAGAAGTATTTCAAATTTGGGAGGAATTTTAGCACAAAATAGGTAAGCTAATACTTTGGAGGGAGCAGCCAATCAATGATGGTTTGTTTTGGCCCAAGCCTCAAGCCTAGATAGCATAATTCTGTTTTATTAATTATAATTCTTTCTCATTCATATAACATATATATCATATGAATGAATAATAATATATTATTATATAATATATAATATAATTCTCATTCATCTGTACCTTTGCTGCTAGAACTAAAGAGGGTAATGGAAAGGTGAAGGGTCTGAAAACTAAAAATCAAATTTAATAAACATTTAGTAAATACCTACTAAATATGAGGTGGTTTGCTTGGCACTGGGAAGCAAAAATTGAAAAATGACAATTTCTCACCTTAAGCACTTTATAGTTCCCCCATGGGAGGAAGAGGAACTGGGCAATGGGTGGAATACAATATGGATGTAAATAAGTTATATGAGAATTGGTTG